CAATAACAAATAACAAAACACTAAACTATTCAAAAACACACAGCACTAAACATACAAACTTAATAGAACAATAAATAGTTAACAATAATAGTTGTAAAACATACACGACAATCAACGGAGATAAAACCTACGCCACTGGACTTTTCAATAGTATGGATATTCTAAGAAAGGAGCAAAAAATTGTCTGGGACGCTACCCAATAGGGAGTCGAATTTTCTCATGGCGACAAAACATGTGAGGATATCCGCCAATCAGATTCGTTTAGGCGGTGTCCAATATACCTTTCGGGTGGTTGTTGCCAGCTCAACCGATGTCGATAAGATCTTTGGAAAAATGTTTACTTATAATACGATTCAGTAGTAAAAAATAGTTATTAAATACAAATAGAGCTAACAACCCATTAAAATACTCAGTATTTTGAATTATTATTTTTTGGAATTGTGAAAAATCGATTTTCAAATCATTGAAATTACTTTTATTATTATTATTGCTTTTTTGTAGTTAAATTTGGCAATATCGAATATTTTCGGTCGCATTCCTTTCGCTGTTGCAGATCGGTTTGCCAAACTTTAACTAGAAACCGGATGGACGGCGCTAATCACAAGGGCATCGGGACGGTGTTAGCCGTACCGTTGAAATGGTAATCATCAGGATTCCATAACTACTCCCTCCTCGGAAAGATTGGTTTCCAATCTCAAAAAATGATTTGAACTTTTAATTTGAAGGAGAAGTTTCTTAAATATCACTACTTTTTTTTTTTTTTTTTTTTTTTTTATTTACATAAGCTGCATCAGCTAATTAGCTATTAGCAGCGGATTTAATGTGTACATGAATCAAATTTTATGTATTAAATTACAATGGCTCAAGAACAACATTAGATTTCGGACATTGCAGGTGGCTCCAATTATGTCTTTTAGAGTTTTACCACAGAGATTAAACTGATGTCTTTGTTGTTCGAACATTGGACACTCCACTAGAATGTGTTTTACCGATAAAACGCTTTCACACATAAAACACATTGGTTCAGGGTCACGGGTGATGAGGTAGCTGTGGGTGATTCTTGTGTGGCCCAGTCGGAGGCGGGTTATTATCACTTGCAGTCTCCTTTTTTCTGTTACTGTTTGCAATTCGTTGAGCTTGGGTTTCACTTCTTGTAGCTTGGAAGGCTTGTTCCTCCACACACTATTCCACTGGTCTATTGTTTTGCCTTTTACATATACCTTCATATCTGATGCTGGAACTGGGAGGTTGCAGATGCTGTTGTTCGTTGCCGCTCTTTTAGCGTTTGTATCCGCTGTTTCATTCCCTGCTATTCCTTTGTGAGATGGAGCCCACATAAGTACTATAATCTGGTTATTGTTGGTGAGTTGAGTAATTGTTTCTTGTATTATCTTGGCTATCGGGTTTTTTGTATATAACTTATTGATGGAGTATATTGAGCTAAGTGAGTCTGTAATGATTATCCATTTTTGGTCAACGGTGCTTTCTATATATTTTAATGCTTCCAGAATCGCGTAAAGCTCTCCTGTCAGAGTAGTGGCTGAGTCCGGAATCTTCAAGGTCTTGATGGTTGTTGGTGTAACTATTGCTGCTCCGCAGTTTGATCCTTGTTTCGATGCGTCGGTAAATATTAGCTTGTGGTCAAGATATTTACCAACGATTTCGTAGAAATTCCTCTGTATTATTTCGTTAGGGGTGCTATGCTTGTCTAGTTCTGTTAGCTGGGTATTTACACGAGGAAGCTGGACAGCCCAAGGTGGTGCGTTTGAGACTTTGACTGGATATAATTGAGGCATTTGGCTTATATTCAACTGTATTAGGTGAGATCTAACTCTTCTGTGTAGTGGTGGAATGTGCAATGGATTTCTGTCGTATTCTATGAGGGTGCGTAGGTTTTTAGAAGTGGGAGCATCTGGGTTTGATGCTGTGTTAATGATATATGATGAACTGAGAATGTCTCGTCGCAGTTGCAGTGGGGGTTCTCCTGCTTCGCAGTATAAGCTTTCCAGCGGTGTTGTTCGATAGGCTCCTAGTATGATACGTAAAGCTGTATTATGTACCACATCTAGATGCTTTAATATGGTTTTTTTGGCAGATGCATACACGATACACCCGTAGTCTATTTTTGATCGTATTAGCAGTCTGTAAATGGTTAAAAGTGTTTTGCTTTCTGCTCCCCAGTGCTTATGTGCTAGACATTTTAACACATTAATTCTCCTTTGGCAAGACTGAATAAGCTGAGTGATATGTTTTCTCCATGTTAGACGTCTGTCAAATGTTATTCCTAGAAACCTGATTTCATCCGTGTACTCTAGCGATGTGTCATGTATTTGTAGTGATGGATTATTCTGTTCACATTTTTGCTGAAGATGATGCATTTTGTTTTGCTGGGAGAAAACGAAAAGCCTGTCTGATTGGACCAATGTTCTAATTTCGATAACTGCGCTTTTAAGAGTTGGGCACTGGTTTCAATATTTTTGCCTCTTACGTAAATTATCATGTCGTCTGCGTAGAGTCTGGCTTGGACAGGTTTCTCCATATTATCCAAGATGTCATTGATTGTAATTAGAAAAAGTGTCGGACTGATAATTGATCCCTGTGGTACACCGTTCTCTTGTGTTTTCAATTTGGACAGTGATCCATTCACTCGAACCTGGAAGTTTCTTTCACCCAAAAAGTTGGCAATGAAAGCTAATATATGTCCATTGTAGCCGCAGTCTTTAAGCTTCTCGATTATTTTATATCTCCACGCCGTATCGAAGGCTTTATTAATGTCAAAGTAAATGGCAAAACAGTGTTGCTGGTTTTCAAATGCCTCCTGAATATAATTGTTCAAATCGACTATATTATCCATAGTCGATCTGTTCGGCCTGAAACCTGCTTGTTCCTGTATCAGTACGTGTTTTTGTTCTAGGCTCCAGACCAGGCGCTTGTTTATAATTTTCTCAAGCAATTTACATGGTACACATGTTAAGGAAATTAGTCTGTATGACTCTGGATCTAGCTGTTGTTTACCTGGCTTAACTATGGGAATGGCAATTGCTTGATTCCAGCTATTCGGAAACTCATGTTTTGACCATATTATATTGTAAATGTCCAATAAACATTTCCTACCGGATAGAGGCAGGTTCTTGAGGAAGACGGTTGGAATATCGTCTGGCCCTGGTGATGTGTTTTTCATATCTTGAATGGCATCGAGCAGTTCGTTAATGGTTAGGGGAGTGTTGATGGTGTCTTCATTATTCTCAACTGTTATTGGAATTGTTTCGTGTTGTGTTTTGTGAGCTATGAACTCTTGAGAGTAGTTATCATTGCTGGAGTGCTTATAGTATGTTTTCGATAGTATTTCAGCAATTTCATCGCTGTTAGTGTGAATTATCGATTCATCCTTTATTGCTTTAATTTTTTGAAAACTATTTGCGCCTGAGATACTTTTTATCTTTTTCCAAATTGTTGATATTGGTGTTCTTGTATTCATTCCTTCAACAAAATTTTGCCACGACTTTTTCTGATTTCTGTTTGTTGTAAGTCTTGCTCTGGCCTGCTTCTGTCTTAAGTCACGTAGGTTTTCAGTCGTTTTGTGTCTTTTGTACTTATTTAGAGCTGATTTACTTTCTTTGAGTGCTGTCTCGCATTCTTGGTTCCACCAAGGAACTGGATTTTTCTTTTTGACGGTTTTTGTTTTCCCAATGTGTTGTTGTGCTGCTTTGGTGATTAAGGTATTAAACTTTTCTATTATTATGTTTATATTTTCGGTTAAATCGATGTTGTTAATATTGTTGTCTATATATTGCGAGTAATCAGTCCAGTTGGCCTCTTTTAATCTCCATTTATTTGGTGGTATCGTATCACTTCTATCATTTCTTGAATCTGAGATGACAATAGGAAAATGATCGCTATTATATAAGTCATCAGCAGTGGTCCAATTCAGATGCGTCAGAAGGCTCGGCGAGCATGCGCTTAAGTCGATGGTAGAAAATCTCCCTGAAGCAGCATCAAACCTTGTGCTGCTTCCATCGTTAAGTAAGGCTAGGTTGTTCGTCTCAAGTGCTTCCTTGAATAATTCTCCCCTAGGATCATTTTTAAAAGAGCCCCACGAGATGCTGTGGGCGTTGAAGTCTCCTAATATTATTCTAGGGCTGGGTATTTGTTCTAACAGAGCTTGGAATTCGGCAGGTTCCAAATGGTAGTCTGGTGGGATGTAAATGTTACATATGTTGAGTACATCTTTGAGGTCTATAGATATAGCTATAGCTTCTAGGTTTGTATTCAATGGAATTGGTCGGACAGGTATCTCCCTTTTGACGTATATTGAGACTCCACCGCTTGCTGTGGGTCTTTGCCTGTTTTTGAAAAATCCTGCATAGTTTTTGGGTGAGTGTGATTTTGTGTCGTGGAAATGCGTTTCCTGGAGGCAAACGACATCTGGTGTATAATCAGCTATCAGTTTTTTTAACATGTTTAAATGGACATAGTATCCATTTAAGTTCCATTGCAATATTGACATGATTCTTATTTTAGTAAAAAGATGTGTCTATTGAGGAAGTATCGCTAAGAGAGTCATTGAGACTTTTGTCGATGATGCGTTCCAGTTTCTTCCGAAGTCTGGTGCAGCGGTTTTTTAGCGTTCTGTCATCTATATGAGAATATATTAGTAGTAACATTTCTGTAAGTCCCTTGATATCATCTGTAAAGTCGTTTATGATATGTGTTATGTCTTGTACCCCATGTGTGTTTTCCAGTAAACTCTTGAGCTGGCCACAATTTAACGCGAGTGGTGGGGTATGGCTTTCTATAAATGCTTTAACTGGAGATAAAGCATCGTCTTGGATGATCGACGGTCCAGTTTCCGACTTATGCTTTTTGGTGTTAATGTTTCTTGGAATAGTGAACGTAGGACTGTTGGGTGTATTTGCTGCTGGAGGTGTTAAAATATTTGAAATGGGTCTTTTGTTGGGTGCTTTATCTATTATATTTGTCTGGCTGCTACTGAATGTTACGCTTCGTGGTTCATGTGAGGTGTTGGATGTCTGTACTGGTATTTCCTTGTTGCTTGGTTGAGATGAAGGGAGAAAAACTGTTGTTTTGCTATGATTCTGTTCTATCCTTTGAGTGGTTTCGGTGGCTGAAATTTCTGGCTGACTATATTGTGTGTTGCTGTTATTTGTCAGTGGTGTGTTGTTTACAGAAGGACAGTGTGAAGCAATATGACCAGAAAGTTTACATTTAAAACATTTCTGACTGTCTAGCGATAAGAAGATGCGATATGATAGACTATCGTGAGTGATTTCGATGGACTCAGGTATTTGGTTAGATTCTAGAGGTGTAATATATACCTGCCTCCTGAAACTTAATATGTGATTGTATTCTGGTACTGTTGCTCCGATTCTCAAAAATGTTATGGAAGATATTAATTTCAAGCCTAGATCTTGTAGTTTTTCCTTTAAAACTGCATGTGGTATTGTTGGGCAAACGTTCGATAGCACTAACCTGTCCGATGGTGAAATTAATTTACGGGCCTTAATTTTTTCTCCTTGTATTACAATTTCCCCTGGGTTCTCTACGAATTTATTTACTAATTCCTTGCTGGAGAGGTATATGCAAATTCTGTTATTGGAAATTCTAGAGCAAAACAAAATGTTCTTCGGGTCAATCATTGGTCCTAATTGGAGCAAGTAATCTTGTATTCTTGCTCCGTCTATGGAATTGAAAACTATAGCTTGTTCTTGAGTTGGATGTTTATATGTAGTTAGAATTGTGGAATAGTGTGTGGGTTGGTTAATCGGTGTTGATGTCATTGTTGCTAAGGTTTTATATCAGTATGGAAAAATATCATTTCTGAATACGGACCTGTTCTTTCGAGGTCCAAATTGTGGACGCGTTTTTCCCGAACGCTTGAGATTGGAATGTTGAGTATTTGATCCACTGATTTACTATGTTCTCGGTATATAGCACAATATTTCCTACTCACAATGCGTCCTGGTTCGTGATTTGCACTATATGGTAGCAAGTCGAAAATTGTTTGTGTTATGGTTCACTTTTAATACGGTAAATTCACGAGCTCACTATCAGATAGACTAACTGACTCGGTTGCAGGACCGGACTCCTATCACTACTTTGAAGTGGAGTTTTAGTATCCTTTACATAACGGTATCTAACAAAAATTGTTATAAATAAAACCAATAAAATAATTACAGTAGTAAAAATAACAGGATAACTTATAGTAGAATGAAACTGTAAATCTTCAAAATGAACTTGAAGTGAAGTGAGATTTTTTTCGAAATAAGATTGGAGTGAAGTGTTTGTTTTCTTAATTGAATATTTATCGTTGTCATCTCTGAAGGATAATTCTAATTCAATTTCATAATTAGAGTCAAATTCTAATATTTGATCATTAATAAATGTATGACATTCTAAAATTATGTGAGTAGTAAAATGAATATGATGGATTCCTTTACAATCCTTGATTTTTGTTAAAACATTAGTGTCGATTACATAATTGTTCTTACTTAATTCTAGGATTCGCGTGTAGTTTACTAGACTTTCAGACTCACAAGTGTCTAACTTAAGTGGTTGACATGGCGACTGGAAAGTATTCGTGCAAACATACAGCTGATTGCTTAACTCTATAATATTTTTGCAATAATACTACTTTTCAAAGTATAAAATATAATCACTTGGTAATTTTACTAATTCTTTTTTGACTGTGATTGAAAATAACTTGAATAAGGAATAAGTTCTATTATCTAAAATGGGAAACTCAACTACAACAATAAGTTGGTTTTCTAAAAGTATAAGTGATAAAAGGGAAAGATCATAAATCTCAAATAAATGTATTTTGTCGAATGGCAATAATTCTTCGTCTTAGAAATGGATTTTAAATGTTCAATAAGTAAGGTAATCTGATGATAAGATAATTGTAAGGTGTTGAGACCTGTTTGCTGGTTCAATTGTAGAACTAATAAAATTGAATTTAGATATGAATTAAATCGGTGCAAATTTGTAATAATTGAGATCTGATGGATCGTCTGGTGTGATAACAAAGACTGATGTTCAATAGTTTGGACATTATGAATAATAATTGACTGTATTCTTCTTGTATTATTTTCAAAAGTTTCTTGAAGAGATTTGCAAAACGTGATAGTTTTCTGATGAATTTCAAGCAAGCTATTCTGGTTATTTCGTAGAGCGTTCTGATTTTTCAAAATAAGATCTGAATCGTTTTGATCAAGGTTGCCAGAAATAAAACGAATTATAGAACCTAAACCGTTTATAAGTCCGCGTTTGATTGTATGGTGTGTTAAAGTTTCGAACTTGGAATAAGTATCTTCGTATAAATTTTGAAACTGATTATCTAAGCTGGTGGGAATTTTGATTGGTTCCTTATGAGTATGACATAGAATTTCAAAGTTTTCGATGAAAAGTAAATTATGGGAAATGTAAAAATTACTGTGGAATTTCTGTAGGTCATAGTAACCTAAAAGACAATCATATTTTTGATGACATGGGAGTAATAAGAATTCAACTTCTGTTGGAATACCTAGATCATCAAAGATAGGGATCTTACAAGCGTGAGTACCAATTTTGGTTTCAATTGCTGTTTTGATAGAAAAACATTTTGGATAAATATAATCCGGAAATTTGTCGTAGGCGATTTGGGGATTCATAAGAGATGCAGAAGCACCTGTATCTATAAGAATAAGTAAATCCAAAACTTCATTGTAGAGATATGGGAGATGAATATTTTCATAAGAGTTTAAATCAATGTCTATTCTGGGGATCGTTGATGAGGAGTTGATTGAAAATTTTCTTGAGAATAATCGTTTTCATAATATTGAAATTGATCTTCTACGAGATTTTCTGGACAACAAGCTTCAGAATAATAAAATTCGCTACATTTTCTGTAGAGCTTTCATTAGTGGGTTCGGATTCGTTATTAGTAAGTTCTTGAACAGCTATGCTAGGGCGTTGACCATTATTCGAAAAGAAATTGGGTCTTACAAAAGGTCTACGTGACTGGATCGTCGAAGTTGACATAGGCGTAGGATGATTTTGATTATTTTGTCTTGAAGTATTGGTGACAGGGAGCCTATTCATAGGAAATTGTGGACGATTTGCAAAATTGTGTTGAGAGGGGTTGAATGCGTTCGAAAATTGACGACTTTGTGGGGAAGTATAGAATGGTTGTCTAAAAGTTGGACGAGAATTGTGAAATGATTGTGGGTTGCTAAATTGTTGTCCATAAGTAATAGCGAGACGAGAAGTAGAGGGATTATCAGAGAAATTAGTAAAATTGGGAAAGTTAGGTCTATATGACTGCATTGGCGGTTTAACAGGTTTATTTGTCTGAGGCTTAGACTTAGTGACGAGAAACTCTTTATATTGTTTGGTTTGCAAAAGGTTTTCGTGTTCTTAGCTTCATCTATATTTTTAGGTGGTGGCTGTAATGCAACGCAATGATATGTATTTGGAATTGATTCCGCATAAAAAGGAGGTTAAAGCCATCTGTTCATATCTAGCAATCATTGCTGGGGCAATTTCTGGAGGATAATTTAATTGAGCAAATTCTCGTAATTCATGAAGTTTGTTACAAAATGTAAAACGCTATAGTCTGGGGAATGAATATCAAAAAGTTGACGAGTCAAATTTTCTTCAGTTTGGTAATCTTTAAATCTAGTGGTTAAAATAGCAGAAAGATGTTCAATAGTAATAGGATTAGTTTGTTCTGTAAATTTGGTAGGTTCACCTTGTAATCTAGAATAAATGTTAAAGCATGTCCTTTATAGGAAACAGGTAAAGCGTTATAAAATTCTGTAGACTTTCTTAAAAATGTAGAAAGATTGTTTGAATAGCCATCAAATATAGGAATTGAATCTTTTAGCATGTTAAAAATTAATTGAGGATTGTCATGCTGAACGACATTCTGTTGATTTGAAGTAGCCATTCTTATAGGAGATCTTTCTCTTTCGGTAGGCACAAAACGATTAACAAAAGTCATAAAATAAAATGTATAAAAGATGCCAGATAAAAATGAGTAAAAATAAGTGAAAACAAAACTTAAAGCTATGCACAAAATTAGATTTCAATTGAAAAATGCAAACTTGGATTCCTCAGAAAAAATCTCTGTAGAAATGAGTTTTTTGATAAATTCTTCTTATGGTTACGTATTAAATCTCCTTTGTTGCAAAATCTTCTTAATAGTAATTCTTAACTACTTACAAGGACAGTAACATCAATTGTTGCTTCATCCAGGGGCTGGTCATCTTGTCTTCGATTCCAAATCAATGGTTCTGGACAGTTTCTGGTAGAATTCCCAGTAAGAGAATAAAAATTCTTACTTGATATTGGCACTCGGAAAGTCCAAGTAGAACAGGAGGGCCTTCCCGACGTCTGATACTAACTCTTGGCTTTCGCTGGTACTAACTTCAGTTTTCTCAGGAACTCACTCTTTGGCTTTCTCGGAGACACCGCTGGGCAGCTCGCCTATTAGATATTTCTCACAATGGTGACAGAAACCAAGCCTGGGATCCTGTTCGCAGCGCCAGAAATGAAACTCTGAGTGGTTTCGGTTCGAAACTATAGCAGGAACTTTATTGGATGAAAACAGGATGACAACAACGCTAGTTACATTTCATATTCAGTTTATAAGAAGTAAAATATAGCAAAATGCAAAGTCAGGAATGTTCTCACAAAGATAACAGCTAACGCTGTAACTAGAAACCGGATGGACGGCGCTAATCACAAGGGCATCGGGACGGTGTTAGCCGTACCGTTGAAATTGTAATCATCAGGATTCCATAACTTGTACGTATTCCCAAGGAGTCGTATAAGAACCTCCCGAAAACCGCAACTCGATATCTCTTTCTGTTCCGAAAATATCACGATTTGAATTTAGGTAAAATTTTCCATGTTGCAAAGCGACTGTCCATCAGTTTTTTTTTTCAATGGCGAATAGACCGCATCTACTGTATCACCAGAATCAGCGGCATCTAGCGGCCATAGTGATGACCCGGCTACCAAATGCGCTCATTCGCACTTATAAAGAACACATATTTTATCTTTCACGTATTCTGTTGCAAGTGGAATCGATAATCTATTTTCTGTCATAGCCATCTGCTATGTTTGCTGTTTCCAGCTGCTCCAGTTAAAAAGGATATTTGTTTCGTCTGTACGCCTGTTCCGGCTTCAGGCTTCAGCCTTCGGCTAAGGAGATTACTCTGCAATCTCGTTGTCAGCATTACATTTGCTGGACTTATTGCACTTTTCTAGGCCGTTGCGAACATCCGTTTATTATGTACGCTTCGGTAGGCGATGCGACGACGTCTAGGAAAGATAGCGTACCGTTACACTTTTACTTCCTAAGCCACTAAGACAGTATTGTAATCGCAAAAAATTTCGTATGACATAGTATTTTGTTTGGTCTTATACGAGGTACGTAAAGTAAGTGATCAAATCAGGATTACAGTTTTGGTTGTTTCTGTAATCCTGACGCTAATAATTGCTGCTGCTATGAGATAGGAACGAAATTCAAATCCAATAACTCGATATACAGGGTGTCCGCAAAGTTGGGGTTTTCCTTTACACGACGTGTAGATCTTGAAAACGTAAGCAATTTTTCTTAGTACCATATACGCCAATGTCTTAAGAGAACCGAGATAAAGGGCACTGCAATATCAAAAATATCTGAATACCGTCCTGTAGCCGCGACCCGCGACATCACCCAGTGGTACAAGGTCACTGGCTCAACCCGACGACAGAACTGGGTCGGGGTCAGTGTGTCAGGTCAGTATGCATCCTTCAACCGACGGTTACGGTCACGCGTGTAGAGGTAATCGCGTAGACGAGAATCCCTCAACAAGCACTAGAGACGTGGCTAGAGAAGTGCAAGTATTAAAAACTAAAGTGTGGCAAACGCTGCGTGAAGAGGTGCTGTATCCGTTTCACGTCCAACGTGTACAAGCCCTTCAACCTGACGATTTTCCAGCAAGAGTGCGGTTTTGTGAGTGGTTGTTGCATCAACATGACAATAATCCGGACTTTTTGAAGTGCATATTGGTGACAGACGAATCTACGTTCACGCGTAATGGGGTGAATAACTTTCGCAACACTCATGTTTGGTCAGTAGAAAATCCGCACGCTGTCCGTCGGGCACATTTTCAACAAACATTTTCGGTGAATGTTTGGGCTGGCATGGTGCGTCTGCTCGGTAGCGCATCAGCTGATTTCATTTTCTGTTGGAGCGGTATGATTTCGGGCAGAGACGTACTTAGCCCTTCTAGTCAACTGGAGAGTGAGTACTTTTTCATTTATTTTTTTTTTACTTGGTCGCCCTCGTTTCACTACACATTACCTTTGTTATTTTAAGGGTAGTTGTTTCTGAAAAGGAAAACCCCAACTTTGCCGCCATTTCTGCGATGCTGATACAGATCTATAGGTTTCAAAAAATCGCACTGCCGACCAGACTTTCCCCGTAAAATTGATGGACGGTGATCACAGAACCTCCGGGAGGAATGTGAATATAGTACTGTGCTCTATCTATGAAACTCGTGTGAAACTTGGTTCCTTGGCATCTATGCTCCTTGTCGTTTCTGCAATCCTGGTACAGATCTATAAGTTTCTGAATATCGCACTGTCCTTCGTAAAATTGTTAGATTGGAGAGTTGTTATCGGGTTTAGGAAAATGCGAGGAGGTTTGCAAATAATTGCTCCTGCTATTTTTATTTTTATTTTATTTTATTTATTTATTTCCAACAGGTGAAACCCAACTACAGGAAACGCTGAAAAAATAACAATTAAAGAGACATGGTTCTTGGACTTAAATCTATAGTAGCACATGAGATTAATTGGCGATTTTGTCATAACATTTGTACGGCCAGCTTGACAATAGAATGCCGTTTGTTGTCGACCCCTAGCCTTGGAACGCGGAAACATATTTTTTCAAGTAAATTTTGACAGTCAATTTTATTGTGAATGAGGCCATACAAAAACGACAAAGCAAATATGTTTCGTCTTGTTGACAGTGAATCCAAATTGAAAAACTCTAATAGAGTACTATGGTCACAACCTCTTTCTGGCTAAGAACCTGTGCATTTAAGGTGAAAATACTTTAAAGCTTTACGTTGAATGGCCTCAAGGATCACGACAGAATTTTGGTATATAGGAGACCAGATCAGAGTCGCATACTCCAACTTGCTTCTGACAAAAGTAAAAAATAAAGTCATTAATGTATCAACATTGGAGAAACCCTCCCAGTTTCTGATACAGAAACCAAATAGTCGAGTGGCAGCCGACGAGATATTGAGTATATGCTCAGTAAACGTTAGCTTGCTATCAAAAATGACTCCAAGGTCTCTATAAGAGGTGCATCTGTCTATAACCTGACCATTGATGTTATAATTATCATAAATTAAATAGTTAACTTTTCTTGTATAAGTCATAACTTTACATTTCGAAACATTCAGACTGAGACAGTTTCGTGAACACCATGACGAAATTAGATCTAAATCATCTTGCAACATCACGCAATACTCGACTGTCTTGACTGACGTGCAGATTTTAAGGTCATCAGCGAAAAACAAATGGAAACACTTCAGTTCAAAAGACAAGTCATTAATAAATATTAAAAACTATAATGGACCTAGATTTGACCCTTGAGGTACCCCAGACGTGGCCCGATAGTAACTCGACCTATGACCAGCATATTCGACAAATAACCTTCTATCCCTCAAATATGAATTCATGAGCGACAGCATTGCATCAGACATACCCACTGTTTTAAGCTTATCCAGAAGTGCATAATGATCAACTTGATCAAACGCCTTCTGAATATATGTGTAGATGACATATGAAACTATGAGATAGGAACAAAATTGAAGTCCATGGCATCAATATATTTTGCCGTTTATGCGATCCTGATACATATCTATAGGGTTCTAATCAATCAAATTGATGGACGGTGATCACAGAACCGCGAGGAGGAATGTGAATAGTACTGTGCTCTATCTATGAAACTCGTGTGAAACTTGGTTCCTTGTCATCTATGCTCCTTATCGTTTCTGCAATCCTGGTACAGATCTATAAGTTTCTGAATATAGCACTGTCCTTCGTAAAATTGTTAGATTGGAGACTTGTTATCGGGTGTACAAAAATGCGAGGAAGTTTGCGAATAATTGCTCCTGCTGTGAGATAGGAACAAAATTGAAGTCCATGGCATCAATATACAGGGTGGCGCATCTAAAACGAAACAGACGCATTTACTGGCAGCTCAGTTTTTTTTGGAAAAACGGTCAGACCCGTCGATTTTGTTTTCGAGGGGAACATAAGTTTGGCAAAAAATCACGTTAACACGTGCAGCCCCCTGGGCGGGGGTGGCACCAACCCTAAAATCTTAAATGCGAAGGGGGGTCGAGTGATACCTTATTTTAAAGGTCTTTCAATTCCCTTTATAATGATGTAAAATACATGAGCTCAGTTCAGTAGTTTTGAAGATTTATTGATTTGAAGCTTAAAGTAGACTTTAATAGGTACATCAGATTAGTTTGTACTACTTTCAGAAGAAATTTGACTAAAAGAATTTACTTAATAAGTAAATGCTTTTCTTCACTACGCCCATGGTTTGTTTATCATTTTGTTGTTGAAAATAGCTATTGGAGCGTTTTTTGTGGCAAAATAGTTATTTTTTGAAGAAAGATAAGGAAATATATCGTACTTATTTGAAATACGAATTTAGTACATAGTTTGCGATTTATTTGACCAAACTTTGTTGCTAAAATAACTTGTAACGCTTCATTACATAAATTAACCACGGTATATTCCACAGCAGAAAGAGTTGAAGTTATCGAAATATTTTTCGGAAATAATCAGCAGAAATACTCAATGAGCGACATGAGAACAGTAACGTGCATCGAAAATATGTTCTAGAACTTGTAGCTAAATTTCGGGAAACTGAGTCAGTCGCCAATAAAAAACGCAACATTGAAAATCCCATAAGGAACGAAGCAATAGAAGTGGGGGTTTTAGGGCAAGTTTATGTAGATCCTACGTTAAGTACCCGCAAATTGGAGACGGATTCTAAAGGCCCATAGTTTTCAACCGTATAAAATTCACCTGGTACAAGAACTTAATGAAGACGATTTTGATCGGCGATTACAATTTTGTGTAGATATGAGTGAACGAATTATAAACGATGAACATTTTCTATTCAACACTTGCTTTTCCGACGAATGTTCCTTTTGCTTAAATGGCGTAGTAAATCGTCATAACT